CATACACACACACATCTGCACACACACAGGCATATGTACACACACACACACATCACCACCACCGCCATCAAAGGTAGAGTTATTTTACAACAAGGAAGATCTTTTTGGTTGCAAGATTGCTTTAGCACACTGCTTCAGGAAACTTTCCAATAACTTTATCTCGGCTTCATCAACGTCCAGATCTGCGGACATCGTGGGTGTTGGAAGCCGAGACATTCAGACTGATTCTATTTTGCCCCTGGGCATTAACTTCAAGACAGGATGCTCTCTGCACTGGAGACCGTGAATCCAGAGTCAGGCACACATGCTCCAGCAGGCTCGGTGTTTTAATACCTTCCCCAGGGTTTCTTTCCAATATCCGTGGGTTCAGAGATAGAAAATGTGGAAATAGACTAAGAAAAAGAGTTTCCGGCCAGCAGAGCTAATTGATTTCAACTCACATGTCAGCTTCATGAAAGTGAAGCCTGGAGTCCTGTGTCGGGAAGGATTACGAAGGTGGAGAGTCCATCTGCGGTACTTGTGCGCGGGGGGGTGGGGGCAGGCTCGTGAGCAGGGCTGGGCCTGGGGCCACCGTTTTCCCTCCTGATGTGCCATGCTGGATGACAAGGAGAGAAAACTGTGTCTTTGGAAACGTGATGGCTGAAGGGTTTCCTCTCCCCATCAGGAAAGCTGTGCTCGCCCTGGTCTCTGGACGAGCCACAGGCCTGTGTTGAAGCCACCAGGTGCTGCTTCCTCCTCTCAATTCTGTGATGAATCACATTTAACCCACTTAGCGCTGGGAGTGAACAGGTTAAATCATAAATCCCAACCAGAGGTCCACACACATTAGGGGTGTGGAGTGAGAATTATCCAACAGTTATTGAAAAGGACAATATGACGGACCCTGGTCCAAGAACTGTGTTTTAATTTCTTTGAAAGTGAAAGTGTGAAAAGGTCAGTCTCACAGTCGTGTCCGACTCTCTGTGACCCCACGGACTGTAGCCCGCCCAGCTCGTCTGCCCATGGAATTCTCTAGGGGGATCTTCCTGACCCAGGAACTGAACCGAGGTCTTGCACATTGCAGGCAGATTCTTCACTGTCTGAGCCAGCCTTAACTCCTTCAACTCTCTCAAAAACGACACTTGAAATGAGCCGTTATCAGCATTTTCCAGGTGAGAAAACGGAGGTGTGTGGAGATGGTGTGCCCGAGGCCACAGCTGCTTGCTGGCGGTGCAGAGGTGCGGGTCGGACGCAGGCGGCCTTGCCCCAGAGCTGCCCTCGTGGCCCTTCCTGGGAGGCTCCTCCGGGGCTGCTGAGAGATGTGCCCCGGTAAACGCCCAGGTGTCCTGTTCTCCCGCCGCTGAAAGGACCTGGAAGGTGAATGAGAAGACCTCCGCCAGACAGTTGATAAGAATCCAGGAACAGGAGGAGGCTTTTAGACACGGTCCTGGCAGCGAGGGGGATCAGCTAACACTCAGCCCCTGAAACTTCTCGCTTATTAACACTGGAGCCTCCCGGGAAGCAGGGGTAAAAGTGGTCCTTCTTCTCCGTGAGGCTGGAGAGCCTGCTTGGAGCCCAGGGGTGCTATGATGTCAAAACAGAGCGAAACGGGAATCAGATTAAACGAGATTGGAACGGAGTCCCCAAGGTGCAGACATCTGCATCCTCAGGCAAGTGAATAGCGGTCTCTGCCCCCTGGTCTGCGCCGTCTATGCTGGGAACCCCGTGGTGGAGCGAAAGCATCTCTGTGGTGTCTGAGACCAGAGCGTGCTCAGCCTCGGATGGGCACAGAGGCCCCGGGGCATTGCTGGCAGGGCTACAGGGTCGCCGACAGGTGACAACCTAGGGGCTCCAGGCCCACACCTTCAGAGGGGGGACATCGCTGTCTCCCGGACGCTCCTCCATGGCCCTCTCTGCTCTGCAACTCTGGGTCATGGCAATACTGGTCTGTCACTGGGACCTTCAAACCCACTCCCCCGGTGTCCACTGAGCCTCTTCCACCCCCATGCCTGACAGTTGTCCAGTGACCCCTTCCCCAGGCCTTCACTCTAGTTCCTACCCTGAACCCCCAAGCCTGGAAGGACAGGGGTCTGCTTATTCATGGGGGGTCCCTGATTCGTAGTCACTGTAGGTGCCTTTCTTTGGCCACAGTTCATGGCTGACTATCAGATGGTATAAAATATCAGAAACCAGCTTGGGACTCCCTGGACCAGACACCTCCAGCACCTACTGTCTGATGTGTGGAAAAGTTTCAACTTCTCTCTCTGGAAGTCTTCATTTACTTAGACATCGACAGGATTTCTTCCAATCAATAGCATCTCTGAGTGCTTCTCAAACTCCTCTGAGAGTAAGAATTTTCTGAGCAACCTGTTCAGTAGAAGGACTTCTGGGCCCCACCCAGGCAGTAGATCAGCTGCGTACACATAACTCAGGCCCCAGGGGACCAGCTGGAGGAGACCCTGTGAACACGGGAGTCCCCACCCTTCCACCCTGACTGCTCCCTGCTGTGGAAACAAGGCCACAGGCTTAGAACTCATGGAAATATGACATTTGCTGTTACACCGGGATGAAGAGCCTCTCCGTAAATTCACCTCCACCCAGAACCTCAGAATGTGACCTTATTTGGAAACAGATGCAGTTAGTTAGGATGAGGGCCCGCGGGAGCAGGGGTCCTTTAACTCACTGTGACTGGTGTCCCCAGAAGAAGAGAGGCAGAGACACGCATGGGAAGGAGGAGACTGGTGGCAATGGGGCAGAGATGGGAGCGATGCCCCCGTAAGCCATGGACCGCCGGCCACCCCTGGGGTGACACTCCGTCAGCGGCTCCAGGAGAAGCCAGCCTGCCCACACCTGGATTCTAGCCTCATGACCTCCTGACTGTGACCGAACACATTTCTATTAAGACTCCCAAGCCTAGGTCATTTGTTACGACAGTCCTGGGACACTAACACAGCCATTTACTGAAATTCCACCTTCAGTGGGGATCAGGGAAGAATTCACTTCCCTTATTGAGCAGAAAACTGCTCAAACTTGTCTCTTAACAGATTACTTTTCATGAGGACAGTGAGGGCCAGCAACCCTGCGCACTCGCCCACCCGCCGCCAGAACCTTCCAGGAACTGTCTCGGAGTCCAGAAGAAAGAGGCACCCTGGTATTCACAAGCAAACATCTGTGGCGCTCAGCTGGAAGGCAGCTCACACAGACACTGAGAAGAGCAGCATCTTATACACTGTCATCAGGGTAAATGCACACTTGAAAAGAGACTCACATGTACCTTTGGAGAACTAGAGGGCCTGCAAACAAGGAAAGCATCCATCAGAAAGGACTTGCAGACGCCTTGAAGATGGAGGGTGTTGGCGTTCACTCGAGTCTGATCCTTTTATTTCTAGACTGTGGGGCGTGGGGTCCCTCTGATGGGGCTGGTTTCCCCTCCACTCTGCCCCCAGCTCGCTCCCTTTCCTCGGAGAAAACCGACTGCAGGGGCGCTCTTCTCCCAGACACTCACAACTTCAATCATTACTTGGAAAGAAAGTAAAATGTGCCCCTAAAAGTCTGTCCTTCCTTTTTTGATCACTTTAAGAGTGGGAGACCTGCCCCCAGCAAACTGGAGCAGCTAGGATGTGCAGACCCCTCAGAGACCCGGGCCCTTCCCGACAACCCTGTACTCAGCTTGGACGGACGTGGGCCTGAGATTCTGCCCACCTCACCCAGGACTTGCACGTTGCATCAAAGCACTTGTTATTCACGTCACAAATGCAGCACAGAGATCTTCTCCTTCTTGGTGTCTAGGATATTTTCAAAACTGTTTATGTTAAATATTAATAACAGCCTCACTAGGGTTTTTGCCTTATGCTGGAGCTGCAATTTCTCTGCTATTTAGGCTAATTAACGAACTATGCTTCAGTCCGTAAACCAAAAACTGTGCTTTCACGATTCTCCTGAGCCTGCTACGAATGTCTTTATAGATGGAAATGCTTCTCTCCTGGGGCTTCTATGCTGGCTCAGATGGTAAAGAATCTGCCTGCAAGGCAGGAGACCCAGGTTCCATCCCTGGGTCAGGAAGATGCCCTGGAGAAGGGAATGGCTACCCACTCCAGTATCCTTGCCTGGAGAATTCCATGGTCAGAGGAGCCCTGTGAGCTACAGTCGATGGGGTCGCTCGGAGTCGGACACGAATGAGTGACTAACAGCACAGACTTCTCCCGTAGGAGTGGAGGGTGGCAGACCGACTCTGCGCGCGGTAATTCGCCTCTCACGCCCCACGGCGTACAGTCTGGGTCCTGACCCAGAAGCAGAGGGGCTGGGGCCCTGTGAGCCCCCAGGATGTCCCTTCTCACAGGGGCAGTGTGGGGCACCCGCCCGAATCAGGACGCCTTTCCTGAGTTACCCCCTTCCGGCCACAACTCTGACATTGATCCCAGAATCATGGGCTTCTCCACCCGCCCGTGGAATCATTCAAACAAGACCATCACATCTTCCCCAAGAGCCAACGGCCACCCATCCTCCTGTGAGGATGATGCAGCCCCGCCCGGGTGTCCCGGCTCTGACAGGGGGTGCCTTCTGCCTGGGCTGCGAGTCTTGGTGACAGATAAGTGACTAAGCAGTGGGAGCTGTCCCCGTAACCCGGGCCAGCAATCCCTCTGTCCACCACGTCAGCTGCGGAAGAGGAGGCCGGCTGAGCAACACTGCCTGCTTCTGGCTGAGGGGAGTCAGACCCCAGGTCAAGGTGCCCTGATGAGAGGATCCTGCAGAGGGGACCTTCACCCCTGTCCAGTGCTGGCCAGCCATGTGACATCCTTCCCCGGTCCTTGGCCAAAACCAAGGCCGAGGTTCCCGGGACTCAGAGGGGCCCTTCCCTTTTGTATGAGCATGCATTCCGGGGAGGAGCACCCTGCTAGCCTGCTGCGTGGCCACGCTCCCTCCTAGCCTCTGGAGCGCAGTCTCTTGGCAGGAATCATACGTCTTGTTGTTCCTTTTTGTTCCCCTCTGGGCTTTGCTCCTCAGCTCGCCCTACTGCTCACCGTCTTGGTCCTGCTCTTCCTGGGGACCTGCCGGCAGGCCGAAGCTGCCCCTGAGCGAGTGTGCGAGTCTGTCCTCGCGTGCGCTGACCCCCAGCATCCCCACCTCTCCCTGGGGCCCTTGGCGCGCCCGTCGGGGACTCGGCCACTGTCCCTGGGTCTCAGGAGCAGCTGTGGCTCCCCGGCCCTGAGGCCACGTCCCTCGGCACGTGGGGCATTCTCTCCACACGGCAGGCTTCCTGACCAGCTTGCCCTCCCTGGTCTCCAGGCTCCACGTCTGCGTCTGGGTCACCTCAGTGCTCTGCTTATTTGCAGAATGAGAGCCTAAGGTGGCAGATTTTAGTTCTGAAATTTGACTGCAGCCTGTCTCCCACTGCGTTTGTTCTTCTGTTCGGGGCTTTGCCAGGCCACCAATCAGGAGCAGAGGCTGGTGCCCCCGAGTCTCCCCTGGAATCTGGGTGTGTTCATCTATTTATTTGCTAGTGTTTCACCAACAACAGGGTGCCTGCTACCATGAAAGAAACACAGCATCTCAGGTAACTGGACTGTGAAAAGCGCAAGCCCCGCAAGAGGTCCTGCTCCCATGATGAGAGTCCACGTCGGGAGAGACAGACAGACAGGCAGAGTCAGAGAGACAGAATCACAGGCAGGGGCACTGCTCAGACCCCAGCCAACGCCCTTTCCAGCAGAGAAAACACACACAGTCAAGTCCACCCCACGTTCTTGACTCATAAAACTGGTCAAAAATGCAATGGCTGTTTTAAATCCCTAAGTTTTAAGATGGCTTCTCATGAGTAATAAATAATTAAAATAGTATACTCACAATGGCCACAGACATTTGACATTTGAAAATAATTATCAGCATTTCCCCTGCTTTATCCATTTATCCAGGGGAATATTTTTCAAATTCTAAGCAATAACTATTTCAGAAAGAAACACTTCAGAGGCAAGTGTTCAGTTCCTTAGAGGGAGATAAAGACATGATAAAGGATGAAAAATGCTGCCTGTCAGAACCATCACCTCCTGGAGCTGAGAAACCATCAGAGGCCATCCGACAGTTGTCAGATTGGGTCTTGTGGGACTCCCGACTCGACCAGAAGTGTGGGGGTGACCTCTCCCCAATACCCTCCACACCGACCCTGACTTCCGTGGAGCTGGGTCCCACCTGCATTCCTCTCATCCACTACGGTCCATGAGAGGCTTTGTGTTTAAGCGGTTCTAGGTAAAACTTTGAAAACGTCTGACCTCGGGGCCCATACTTCCTGGTTAAGCTCGTTAGAGTCCAGATGGAAAACAAGACTCACGGTAGGGTGAAAACTGCAATGGGACAGCGTAACTCGCAGCGGGGAGTCCTGGCCACAATCCCGAGACCTTCCTGCAGGTCGCGTGGCTCTCCCCTGTGACCGCTGTGAGCACCGGAGGGTGTGCACAGCCCTGGAAACCTGAGGCCGGGCTCTCACACAGCCAGCTGCTCCCGGCCAGCGTCAGAGGACTCACCTCGTTTTGTGGAAACTGTCCAGACACAAGGATGAAGCAGCATTCAGAGATGGCCGTGACCATGGATCCAGAGTTGTGGTTGCTTGGCTAATTTGAGCTCACATGATGCTCTGCAAGAGCGCCTGGCTAAGAGTGGCCTGCGTCCGTGTCCCGTTAAAGGAGACATGTCTAGCAGAGGGTCTGTGAGTTAAGGAACGTGAGAGATTAACTGCTGTATGCAGGAAAATGCTGTGCAAACACAGACGTTTTGTTGATGAGTCCTCAGGAAGCCCCTCTGTGCGTCAGTAACGCTGAGACAGGGGCCTCCCAGTGGAGCAGCGAGCTTCACCTAAGGCCGGAGCTGACAACAACTGCGACTTTATTCTCCAGTGCCTGCCCGCAGTCCCCGAACCAAAGTCACTTAACTGTTCTCTCTTGGGGGACCAGGGGAAGCCCATTGCGTGGCCCCTTCCAGACTCTGGGACCCAGACCCTTGTCACGGTGGGTCTGACATCCTGACATGAAGTTGCATCTGAGGGCCTCCCCTAAATGCCTGAAGGGAGGGTCCTGGGGCTCCAGTGATTTGCCCAAGGAAAGAAGTTTCCCGAAGAGAACAGCGGGCCATGCAGACAAACTAGCAGTAAATGCAAGTGCCTGAGCACACGCAATGACTCGGCTTCTAGAGACTGAGCTCCACATCATAGCGACGTGATCCCTTCTCAGAATGAAGCATGAGAAACACACTGGTGACTCAGCCGACCTACAGACCACGGGGAAGGACGAGTTCATGCCTTCCTTCTTCAGCATCTTCTTGGACCACAAATATTCTGATGAGTGCACGAAAGCTGCCTTTCAGTTAAATAAGTCTGTGAATATTTTCCATGCTGTGTAGTTTTATGCTGACATTAGTACACTGAATTATCAGTAAAATAATAAATAAAGGGATGTTAGAAATTGCTGAAGTTATGAAATTTAGTCTGAGTCCTTAGGGAAATAAACTGGGTTGCATCCAGCAATTTAAAAGATGATCAATAGTTAATTTCAAGGGCATATTTAATCAATTTCATTCAAGTGGGCTCTGATAAAATATGCAATATTATTTAGTGTTTCCCAACTTTTGCATAAACTCTGTTTATGTTTAGGTCTTCAATAGCTACATTTGTCTTAATTACTTCTCATAAATGATAATTAGTTATATTTTAATATTTATCTTTACATTTGAAATGTCTCATCTCAATTGCTACTAGGTAGAAAACAACTTCCCTTTAATTTTCTTTTTAAGCCCATATTTTCCAAGAAATCAAATGAAGTAACTTGAGTCATCAGTCTCAATTTACTTGAAAAAACTTTAAACAGCAAAAATGAAAAGTCATAGACATTGTTTTTCACATTAATTTGCATGTAAATGATACTATCAGTTTATTGCTTATTGTTCAGGGAAGGGGAAGCTTATAAAAGCAAAGGGAAGTTTAAATGAAAGCCAGTGAACTCCTCACCTACATCTGCAGCGTTTATAACCAAAACTGCTCCCTGGAGCTTGATGACAGCCCCTGCTCTTGCAGGTCCGCCTGCCTCCCCCTGCCCCTCCAGAGCTTCCCTCGCACCTGGAGCATCTCTGTCCTTTGTTTTGGAGACTGGATTCTTAGTCACCTGGGCGGTTTCTGGCTCACGGAGGCAGTCGAGTGCTGCCGCAACGTGTCACCTCTGGGACCGCAAACTGCATCCTGGAGCCCAGGAAGTTCATGTGAGCCTGTGCAGCTGGCAGTCCGTGGATGTAGGGGCCGGGAGCCCCGCGGGAGGCTGACCTGACCTCCCTGTTCATCTGAGGATGCGCAGGCATCAGAAGGTGGCTGACCCGGTAGCGATGGCTGAGGTTACTGAGCACTCCCTTCGCCTCATCGCTCAGCATCTAGCCAACATCCCTCTCAGCACAGCTGGGGGAGGGGGGTGGGATCCTCTCCTGGGAGGGAGGGAGGCTGTGAGCACAAGGGGCCTGCAGGCTTCAGGGCAAACTGTGGTCCAAGCCTGCTGCTCCCAGAAGCAGCTTGGTGAACAGAAGCCTGCTTTGCAGGTGAGCCACTGGGGGGTGGGGCAGCTGGGGGCCCTGAGGCTCAGCGCTCACGGGGGCGGGGTGACCCCACATTTCTCACGAGTGATGCTCACACAAGCATCAGGATGGAAATTGGCTGTCATGGCCATTGGGACTGTCCACCCTGGAGCCTGCAGAGCCCACAGCTGACCTCTGAGTGTGCTGGTGCGGAAGACCCTGCCTCTCCTGAGCCCCCCACAGAGCCACCTGCGGTGAACCAGGCCCCCCAGCCAGGTCCAGGGCACAGCCAGGCCCTGAAATGGCCCTCCTGCTGCAATCACACTTGAACAGAGCCAGATACCCCTCACCCGGACACTTTCCACGGCAGCGGCTCCACAGGCAGTGCTCCTGAGGCCCGGTGCTGGGAGCCAGGAGGGTGATCATTCTGGGAGGTCAGCATTTCCAAGCAAGGGCCATGCCAGCCCCTGTGCAGGAGTGGGAGAGACACATGGGGTGCTGGCAGCGGGCACGCAGCACGGAGAGCAGATGCCAGAGATCAGATGCATCCTCTCACACTGAGGCAGGGCGGGGCAGGAATGATGGAGGTTGGAGACAGGGCTGGTGGCGGGGGAGCCCCCACCAAGGGGACAGCGCGATTCCCAGCTTGTTCCCGCAAACATGGCTGGCTTGGGTGTCAGACCAGCTCTCGGTAACGCACAGCCTCCATCTGGTCGGCTGCCTCCAGGACCACACAAGTCTGTCCATGCAGGGGACTGGCCGGCAGGACCTGTGGGTCAGAGCCCCACCCTGGCTGAGCGGGAGGTGAGGGGGGCAGGAGATGCTCAGGGGTGGGCCCGGGAGGGTTCCAGAAGTTTCACCTGGTGGCGAAATTGCATCGTTTGTTTGAAACCCTGTTTTATTATGTTCACAATTCATGTGCTGTTTCTGGGCACCCAACCTGCTTCCCAGATGAGCAAATGTTTTTGCGAGCTGTCTCCATCTGAGCTGGTTTCTGCATGGCCCCCGGGGAGTTATTCCTCACAAGCTGGGCCAGCAGGGGCCAAGGAGTCCGTGCACTCCTGGCCCACCGTGAGGAATCCGCAGAGAGGAGGGCCCAGCTCTGGGGTCTCCAGCTCAGGCCTCCTGCCCCCAGCAGGGTGAAGAGGCCCCTCAGGTCCCCAGTGGGACTGACCCTATGTACCGACCCCTCACTTGGCAAAGAGACCTCAGCTTTTCATCCCAATAGTCTCCTGGCTCCAAGGCTGGCAAGCTTACCTTCCTGCCACCCTCGGGAGGCCCCCCGCAGCCACCAAACCCCGAGTCTCTTTATAGTGGAGCTGGGCCTGCCTGAGTGTGTGTGTCTGGAGTGTGGATGCGTGATGTAGGTGATCTGAGGGTGTATAAACAGGAGAGAACACGTGTGTGCCGTGTGTGTGTGTGTGGGAGGGGGTTGTGTGTGTGTGTGTGTCCCCACCAGAAGGGAAGTTCTAGGATGGACAATAGTACTTCCACTAGGGCATTGCCAGTCTTGCTCAGCATGACTTTGCAGATAGAAGGCATTCATTATTTAAAATATAATGCCTTCTGCAGAAAGAGTCTCAATTACTTTCATGATGTCTGGATTTATGTTTAGAAAACATGAAAATTGTTGGTTGCCAAGGAAACTACTTTTTGAAAATCATCAATAAAAGCTAATAACCAAAGATGATAGTCTTTGTTTGGATGGAAAATTACCCCCTTCCCCAATCTGGGGGAAACACACATACATATGTATACGTATACACATGCATACACACACACATACACACATTCATGCATTCATGTACAAAGTTACCAATGAAGTCTCTTGTCTTTTTTGAAACCACATTAGAATATGCTGTAAGCCAGGAGGTATTAAAGAAAAGGGCATGGAATAGGAGTGAGGGCTCTGGCCCCTAATCCCTCCACGAGTGAAAAGTGTCAGTCGTTCAGTCGTGTCTGACTCTTTGTGACCCCATGGACTGCAGCCCACCAGGCTCCTCTGTCCGTGCGATTTCCCAGGCAAGAATACTGGAGTGGGTTGCTATTTCCTTCTCCAGGGGATCTTCCTGACCCAGGAATCGAGCCCAAGTCTCTTGAATTGCAGGTGGATTCTTTACCATCTGAGCTCCCAGAGAAACTCTATAGGCTGCCTCTTTGCCATCTGAGCCCCCAGACTTCACATAACTGGACAAACACAGCACAATCAAACTAAAAGTGCCGCTCACTGCAAACACCAGCAGGATATTTTGTGTGAATTAACTATTTGATTCTAAAGTTGACATGGACATGCAAAGACTTATGGATGGGCTATGAGGAAAGTAAATAACGGTTTAAAAATCTGAGGTATTTACACTGCCAAATGTTGTGTCTGACTCTTTGAGACTGTAGCCCACCAGGCTTCTCTGTCCAAGGACTTTTCCAGGCAAGAATACTGGAGTGTGGTGACATTTCCTTCTCCAGGGGATCTTCCTGACCCAGGGATCAAGCCCACATCTCCTGCATCTTCTGCGTTGGCAGGCAGGTTCTTTACCATAGAGTCACCTGGATATTGACCTATCACAAAGCAAGAGTTACGAAGACTGTATGGTGTAGACACATGGTCAGACATTTCTGTAGACAGAAATGCTGATAGGGGCCAGAAACAGACCTCAGCTTACTTATCCAGGTGATTTAGAACAAAGGTGAAACTACAGAGAAGGCCAAAAAAGGGCTGGTCATTTTCAATAGTAACAATGGATCCAGGGATATCTCCAGTATTGACCCCTACTTCATACTATCCACAGAAAAATAATAAGCCCCAAGTAGACCTGAAATTTAACTGTGCAAGATAAGACAATAAAGCTTTTAGAATATAGCATTGGGAAAATCTTTAAGGGTATCGAGTAGGCAAAGATTTCTTAAAATGAAACAATAGACATTTCCTATCAAGGAGAAACTTGATAAATTTAGACCACACTGAAATAAAACTTTTCACTGTCAAAAAAACTCCACTAAGGAAGTGGAAAATCTTGTAAAGTAATTAGCCTCCAATTAAAATAAATAAGTTAATTAAAAAAAAAAAGAAAGTGGAAAACCAGGCTGTAGTGTAGTGGGAGATAGTTACATTCACATGATACAAAAAGTGCCTCATGGTTACAATAAAGCAACAGCTCCTACAAGTCAGGAAGACAAATATAGGTCAAGCAATTAAAAAATGGGCCAGGTACATTACAAAATCTGAATATCTAAATTGACGCTGATAAAGGAAGACTGGCATTAAGCGTGGAAAAGTGTTCAAAGCTAATACTCATCAGGAGATGAAAATTAGAACCACACTGGGACAGCAAACTGCCCCGGGAGGGGGGCTGCCGGTAAAGAGTCAGGGGGTATCTGAGCCTCTGCGGGTCTCATCAAGTCTGGGCTGGTGTCACAGCTTTGCAGAGCCATCTGGTGTTGCCTACTGTAGGGGCACTCTGCGATTCTCCTCTTAGGTATTCAGGGGACACAGATGTGTGCATTTGTTCCCCCAAGACATGCATGGCCACACAGCCCTCCCCACACATCCTCAGACTGGAAATACCCCAGACGTCCTCTGGCAGACGGGCTGGAAAAGCGCGCCACAGGCGGGTAACAGGAGACCCGACATCTAGAGAAGAATGTGGCGAGCGCCCTTCCTCACTGGGGTCTGCCTGCAATGCAGAAGACCCGGGCTCGATCCCTGGGTCGGGAAGATCCCCTGGAGGAGGGCATGACCACCCACTCCAGTATTCTTGCCTGGAGAACCCCAGGACAGAGGGGCCTGGCGGGCGGCAGTCCGTGGGGTTGTAAAGAGTAGAACTCAAATGAGCGACTAACACTTTCACTTTCACCCCAACTTGGGCGGACCCCACACCCAGTGTCCAATGAAGGAAGCCAGATTTAAAACAGACAGGCGGTGAGTGGTGGCCACGCAGTCCCTGACACTCACCTACCAGCAGGTGGGGGGTCAACGCCCCTCCCGCTGAGTCCCCATGAACTGCTGACTGCTTCCTCCAAAAGCGGACTCACCAACAGTGACTTCCGGGGCCAGCCCACAGGAGGACTGGCAGCTTCTGCCTTCACTCAGTCACCTGCTGGTGCCGCCTAGCAAATCCCAGTGAACTCAGCAGGTAACCCAGCAGCCATCACACATGCTCACGAACCAGGGGGTCGGGATTCAGGACAAGCAGAGTGACGATGGCTTGTCTCCCCGGGAAGGTAGCAAAGGCTGCTGTGGGTTGAATGGCCGAGGCCAGAGCAGCCGGGCAGGCATCCAGTTATGACAGAGCTTTTCTGCCCACATGCCTGTGCTGAGATGTTGGGAAGCTGGGCTCGGCGGGGCCTGGCATGAGACAACCTGGGCATGACATGCCAGCACGGCTGTCTCAGGCGGTCGGCCTTGCTGTAGCAGCAACAGAGAGCGGGATGACCTGTGGTCCCTTTTGCATAAAACCTGACATTGTGTAAAATGAATTGTGATGACCTGGATGGTGGTTACCAGGGACGAGGGGGGACAACTGGAGTGACCAGAACGGGTGTGACCAGGTCTTCTGGACGTGGGCAAGGTTTAATCTTGTCGTCCGGATACTGTAAGTGTAACCTACTTTTGAAAAGTCTTCCTGCTTCCTGCCTAAGCTTTCCGCGCCCCTCTAGTCTACGGCACCCTTTTACAAGCATCCCGGCAGCAAACAGTGCTACCTATTTGGTGCTTGGTGACCCTGAGTCTGTGTCGGGGCTTCTTCATGTTACCATGTTTCATCTCACGTGATTCCGTCAGAGACCAAGGCTGCAGATAGAAGGGTCTTGCCCGGGCTTTCTCAGCTCTTAGCGCCACTGAGATCCTGGCCAGTTCTGTTGATCCTGATCCCTGACTCTTAAGCATGATATATGCTGTCTTGAGGCTTCCCAAGGGGTAAAGAGCCTGCCTGCCAATGCAGAAGATGCAAGAGACGCAGGTTCGATCCCTGGGTTGGGAAGACCCCCTGGAGCAGGAGATGGCAACCCACTCCAGTATTCTTGCCTGGAGAATCTCATGGACAGAGGAGCCTGGCGGGCTATAGTTCATGAGGTCCCAAAGAGTCGGACACGACTGAAGTGACTTAGCATGCACACACACACTGTTTTTAAAATGAGTCATTGCTCTAAGCTGCTAAAGTTGCTCTAAGTCATTACATAAGCAAATCAGAAAAATCCAATAAAATGGAAAATGTACATCATCAAGTCTCAGCCTCATCAGAAATCAAAGAAATATAAATGCAAACCACAAAGAAATGGTTTTCTTAGCAAATTGGCAATAATTACGAACATGATATTGTTTGTATTTGGAAGGTTTATGGGGAAATTCTTATACCTTGCTAGCAGGTATGTAAATTGTTGCAAATGTCTTGTGAATATTTGACAAATGGGTATTACATTTTTAAATGTCCATAGCCTTTAACCTAACAATTCCAATTCTACTGATCTCTCCTAAGAATAATAGGGCAGTTGTACAAAATAGAGGCTGCAAGATCATTCATCATGACACATTATAGTATACAAAAGAAAGAAAAAAGAAAAGTAGGAAACGTGAAAGAAAAAAATACAGAAAAATACAGAAATGCAAAAAATTAAAACTGCTTGCGGATGGGAATCTCAAGCCATATGCATAAAGTTGGGGTTCAGGGATGCGGCCTGATTCCCTTCACGAGGATTCCCCCTGGTCCCACACACAGCCCCACCGAATGGAAGGGTGTCTCCAGTAGGACCGCAGGGAGCAGAGCTGGGCTCTGA